GTGTTTGGTTTTGTTGACATTGACCTGGTTCTTTTTGCAGAAGGTCTGGCAGCAGACAGCAGGGCCCCAGAGCATGTACCTGCCCTGGAAAGGTACCCACTGCCAAAGGGACTACTAGACTTGGCAGTGGGTGTCTGCATACATCTGCTGGCTGTTGAGCAGGGCAGGGCAGAAGCTTTCTCTGGCTTCTGAGTTACTCTGCTGGCAGAAAGGGAGGGTCTATGCCTCAGAGGAGTACTGAATTGCAGACAAGCTTTTGTCTTGCTGGGAGAACTCAGACCATGGAGGTGAAGACCAGGTGTACCCAACCTACATGCAAGGGATCTGGAGCTGCCAGGGGGTTGTTTGAAGAGGGAGAAAACTCACTGGAGGGAAAGGCTTGAGCAGCAGGAGCGGAGAGAAGGAGGGGGAAGGACCCAGCGATGAGTGCTGGGTAGGTGACAGGGTGTCCACAGGGAGGAAAGGCAGATGGTAGCATATCCTGGCTAGCAAAGTGTGTGTGTGTGTGTGTGTGGGGGTGGGACTGGTAAAAGGCAGAAGCAGGGGGAGTGTTAAGTTGTCCAGGGCCAGAAAGCAGTGGGGAAAATCCTTTCCCTTTAGGCTGGAGTGAATGGAGAAGCCTCCTCCTCTGCTTTAGCCCCAAACCCCATATTTTGCATAGGGGTTCCCTAAGGCTCCTGGAACACCTCCACACAGAAAAGGCATTGCCTCCTCAGAGCTCAAGCCAAAATTCAGTATAGAAAATATCACGCATTTAACCTATCTGCCTGTTTATCTGCAGTTATATATGTATGCATATGTGTGTGTGTAAGGCGGGGGGGTATGCCTATAAGTATATCTATATATGTGTATATATATGTGTATGTATGTATGTGTGTATATGGATATATGTGTCTGGATACACCTATGTGTATGTGTATGTATAGGTATATGTGTATGCATATGCATATGCATGTGTGTATGTATACTGGACCCATCCTGTGAACTGTAAACTTGTGAGGTGGATCTGCACAGCTCTCCTCTCACATGGGGAATAAAGGGTTACAACCATAGAGCTCAGGCACTGGCCCATTTCCTACTTAGCAAAGCAGGAAGCATTGACAGGGAGGGGGTTGGCGGACTTCAGAAATAAGGGAACTTCCTATTCCCAGCAGCCCATTACCCCAAGCCTGTTGTCTGAGCTTCTGTGCTGGGAGTGCACCAGTGTCCAAGGGGCTGGAGCCCTGCTGCTTATGAGCCACCTCCTGCCCCTGCCAGCCAGCAGCAGGGCACGAAAGACCCTCTGGGTGCTGCCACTGCGAGAGGTGAGTCAGGCAATCACAGCACAGGGTGGAAAGAGGGGGAGGAAAGCAGCAGCTGAGGGCTGAGGAGCTTCTCCCTGCGGGGGTGGGGGGTCAGGCCCCAGTAAGGAGACAGGCGATGGCTGGGCTGCAGCTGGGAAAAGAATGGAGGCTCTCCAAGCAGATGGGTCTGTGCAGCTGCAGCTGGGCAGGGTCCCTGTGCCACTGCACCTAGGGGTGTGTGTTTGTCTGTCAGTCCCCAGGAGGATTGGTTTGCACTGCAGCTGCCCGCCCACAGCTTTGGTGCAACTGAAGGAGGGGGGCGAGAGGAGAGAACCCAACGCCAGGGTGCTGGAGGCCACCCAGCAGGTCCCTCGCCTTGCAAACCGCTGCTAACCTGTGGTGTTTGACATCACCGGCAAAAACACATGAGGGAATCCCTCTGTGTCTTCCTCCTGTTTCTTTCTTTCTCTGCTGCTTCCCCATTCCTTGCTCCTTTTCCCTCATCTCCTTGCCCTCCCCCCACTCTCCCACCCCCATCTTTGTCTCAGAGATTTCATCTCCCCTTTCCCTGGTCCCTCTCTCTCCTCCCTTTCCCTTCAGGCTGTGCAGAGCCGGCAGCAGTGCTTCCTGCAGCTGAAGAAAGCTGCAGAAGGGGAGTGAGTGCTTCACAGGGCACCAGCCAGTGATGAATCGGGATTTCTGAGCAGGGGATCAGATGTGAAGAAGTGCAACTTCCCTCCCCGACAGCTGTCAGAGCAGGGTGTCAGCGGTGCTGGGGAAGCCTTAATAATGGCCTTAAGCCCGGTATTGTAGCTACAGGGTCTGCTCAAAAAGCAGAGGCTCCTAGGGACCAGGGGCTCTCTTACACGCACCAGGGTAAATCCAGATTAATTTAGGACCACTCTGGTGCGAACCAGAACAGAGTCTGTCTCCAGGATGAGGATGGGAAATCGACCCCAGGGTGGAGCAGAGACAGGACTGTCATACCAGCAGAACTGTGCACATTGTTGTAGCAGCATGGGCCCCCCACTAGGCACAGAGACCCTGGCTGAGCTAGGAAGGGCAGGAGAGACCGGGGTGGACATGGCAGGGGGTATGCTGTAACTGGCTTCTTCTGGCCCAGCAGGTGATGGGAACATGAGTGAGAATGAGGAGGAGAGCCTTTCTCAGGACAGCTCAGCCATTGCCAGCCCCCATGGGGCCCTTCCGGACGTTTTCATGAGGGAGGTTTCCCCAGGGCATGGCCAGGACCATGGCTGCGAGGAGCCAGTGAGCGATTCCCCTGAGCCAAAGTCCGCACCTCCTGGGGGCTGCGAGCGGAGCTTCCAGAAGCGCAAAGACACAGCCGTGCCCCAGCGCACCTTCCTGGGTGAGAAGCCCTACATCTGCATCGAATGTGGCCAGAGCTTCAACCGCAGCTCAGACCTCATCCGCCACCAGCGGATCCACACGGGCGAGAGGCCCTATGCCTGCCCAGACTGTGGGAAGAGCTTCAGCCGCCGCTCACACCTGGTGCAGCACCGTCGCGTGCACACCGGAGAGAGGCCCTACAAGTGCCCTGACTGCGGGAAGAGCTTCAGCCAGAGCACCCACTTGGTGCAGCACCAGCGCAACCACACAGGCGAGAGGCCCTACGTGTGCGCTAAGTGCGGGCGCAACTTCTACCAGAACTCAGGCCTGCTGCGCCACGCCAACTTCCACACAGGCGAGCGCCCCTATAAGTGCAGCCAGTGTGGCAAGCGCTTTGGCGACAGCTCCAACCTCATTGCCCACCAGCGGCTGCACACGGGTGAGAAGCCCTACAAATGTGCTGACTGCGGGAAGTGCTTCAGCGAGAGCTCCAAGCTCGTCATCCACCGCCGCGTACACACAGGTGAGAAGCCCTATGTGTGCCCCGACTGTGGGAAAAGCTTCAGCCAGCGCTCCCACCTGGTGCAGCACCGCCGTGTGCACACTGGGGAGAAGCCTTACAAGTGCCCTGAGTGTGGCACCTGCTTCAGCGACAACTCCACCCTCATCCGGCACCGCCGCACCCACACAGGCGAGAAGCCCTTCCAGTGCCCTGACTGTGGAAAGAGCTTCAGCCGCAACTCCTACCTGGTCTCACATCGGCGTGTGCATGTGTGGTAGGCACCACCCATACCTCTATCTTGCCCTGCCCTGCCAGCATGGGCTCAGGACACCCTGAAACACAGTCACAGGGGTGGTGCAAACAGCAAGGAAGCTGTGGCCATGATGCTTCCAGTTCCACAGACCTGGAAACCAGTGAATGTGGCAAAGCAATCAGCCTGTTTATTTCTCATCCTCTTATTTCAGAGCACAGGTAAAGATGCCACCAGGTGGTTCAGCTCTGCAAGCAATCACTGTAGGCTGCAGGTGTGTTTCACTCACCCTGCTGGTGGCCTCCTCTCTTTGGCAAACATCCCCTACAGGGATGAAGGATAACTTCTGTCTGTCGGCCAGCCCCCTGCTATACTTTTGAACCCACACACAAGCATACCTGACTGGCAGCTCAGAGAGGAGCCCCCACTCTTTTCAATCCAGTGTCAATGCTGAGGTCTCACCATGAATCATTTTAAATAGTCATATCTCTGACTGTTTTACAGTTGCTTTATTGTACTGAAACTATCTGGCTGATCTGTTGAGCTGATATGGCTGGATATCCTAGAAATGAGAAGTTGAAAAGACTTGTAACTTCTGTGATGTACTAACTGGTGCTGTAACTGGCTCCATGACTTCTGTGCCTGTCTAGAAGGGTGGTGAATACCAGCAGCAGGGCCAGGAGAGGGACACTACAGAACTCCTACCTGTGCTAAAGATGCTGAGATGAGCCTGGGGTTTGGGAAACTGTTGGACATGGAAACTTGTGACTTTCTTGTTCTACAAAACTCACTACTGTCCAAGGGATTGGGACTCCTCTTTGGATGTCTGACGCTACTTCTTGACTCTCAAGAGCCAACAAGAAATTATTTTCACATATTTAAAAGCTACATTTTGGGAGGGGGAGGTAGGGGAGCATGGAGCTTTGCTTGCAGTTTCTGGAGAGGAAGGGACCTTCGTATCCTGCTGCTCAGGGAAGAAGAGGAGAAACTTTCTAGGCTGGAGGCTTTTGTTTGCTAGGTACAAGGAAATGGACGTCTGTGTTCACAGCTCTTTCTTCACAAACCGCTTCAGACCAGTGACTTTTTGGTTTTTACCTCCCCCAGAGTCTGACTAGGGGAGTCACCTGAATGCTGTATGGATCCAGAACCATCAGTGTCTCATTTGATCAACAGACTTTTGAAAGGGGAAAAGCACATTTCAGTCTGCAGGCTCACTGTCAGCAGGACTGAAGGATTTAGGTCAAAGGGTCAGCTAGGACTGAGTGACTTTTATTGGTCTAACTATTCCAATCTCCACATTTCAAAAAGAAACCACAGTGAAGGTCTCTGAGTGCCTGCTGCATGGCTGATGTGATGAAAGCCATTCAAAGCTGAGCAACAGGGCCTGCTATTTGAGGAAGTCCCCGCAGGCTCGGCTTGCCTGTGAGTGGAGTTTGCTTTTATGAAACTGAACCAATCCAAGCACTGAAGCAGATAAAGGGAACTCAAGCCTGTGTCTCCCAATGCAGAAAGACCAACTCAAAGGAAAACCCTGGCATCGAGAATCTGGCTTCAAAGAAGCAGTGTCCGTTCCTTCCCTGAATGCTCCTTCCCCTGCAGCTCTCAGAGCATATCATATCCGTCTACAGGCTTTGTAAAGTGCTGTGTACATTTACCAATGCTCTAAAGATATTGGTGTGAATTTATTTCTGGTTAAAACTCTTTATATCAACTTATTTAAAACTGTGTGCAGATTCAGTGTGGCCTTAGGGGTCATGGCCCATCGTCTGTGTAGGTGTCAGTACAGCTAAGGCTGCTTGCAGCTCTTCTGAAGACATCATCAGTGGTGTCTCTGGAATGTTGTTCTGTGCAGGATTACATTTTCTTTGGTTCCTTGTCACCCAGCTGAAATCATTAGCTGCCCCATGTCCAGTTCTCCCCTCTGTGTGATCATCTGGCCTGAGAAGTGGGGGATCTGAGCACTGCCATTTCCTTGCTCTTGCAGAGTTTACGAGGCATGTTCTGGGCCTAACAGGAGAATGACTGCTTTTGGGGTCCACACCTTCCCAAGCAGTATCTAGGAGACAGGCACATGAGTAAGTCTATAAGGTCCCTGAAAACTACAAGGCCCATTCCCTGGGAGGCTGGGCATAGGGTCCCATCCAAATGGGGTGCTGCCTGTGTCCCCCTACCACCATTGGTCTCTTCTTTCTGGATTACAGTTAGATGTTACTGGAAAAAACCCTGGAAAAAGATAAAATTTCCTCATTTAAAAAGAAAGCCCTCAGGGGCTCTGACATCCAGGTATGCTCTACGCCAGCTGTTATTTCAGGTGCCCAGGTCCTCCTGCCAGATTCATGGTGCTCTTTCCTGCTATGCTGTTGGTGCTTAGATACTGCAGTGACACGAAGGCACTTTAGAGATACCTAAGACAGATAGATGAATGGATGAATAATATCTCTTAAATTAAATCTCTCTTCCCAATGCTCTGGGTTATCCCGTCTTGTTTTCTCCCCAGTGCAACATCTGAAATACCCTAGTATCTTGACTTCAGAAGGGACCAGAAATGGTATGTACTGTGTGTCCCTTCACAGCAAAAGAGCTTAAGAGATCATGTTGAGCCAGACTCGGACCTAACTGTGGCCTAACTGCCCCTTTCCACCAATCACCCAAGTGATTCGTAGCCATTAGGCCTTGAGTGACCATAAGGCCAAAGTGACTATAAGACCATGATAAACCAAGCTTGGGAATATGCCGAGTGCAGGGGAGATCCCCTTCCTCAGAGATGGGGCATTCAGGGCATGTCTAGGGCAGAATGGAGGAGGTACGGGGAGACTGAAGGCACAAGGAAACAGAGCCAGGGCAGTGCAATCTCTTGGTTGCTCCCCTTTATCACAGCAGCAAAGAGTGCACATTGGGGCTTCTCTAGCTCATGCTCTGGGGGCTTTTTCAGATGTGGGAGCATAAAGGTGCAGAAGGGTTGAGCAAATCGCCTAACATTGTCCAGTCTAGGCATTCAGAGCCAGGCCTAAACCATTAGCACACAATGTCCCAGGACATGTCTCTAAGGGTAGGTCTACACTGAAGTCACTGCCCTGACTGCAGCTTGTGTGAACATACTCATGCCAGCTTTAAACTTGTTGGATTAAGCAGCGGTAACTCTAGTGCAGATGGAGCCCTTTGTGTCTTTGCTTTTCCACGGCAGCTCTGATTCAAACTCAGCACCAACAGGCCATTGTCTGAACCTGTGAACATGGGTCTGGTTGGTTCCTCATCTGTCACCTCCTTTATATGGGGCAACACCTTGAAGCTTGAAGTAGTTATTTATAGAATATTTGCATGCCCAGAGCTGCATCTGGCTGGGGATCCTGGTGCTGCTTCAGGCCTGCTGCTTGCTCTCTGTCCACCACAAACCTGTCAGGTGCCCTCACTCACATGCTATTAAGGACTTGACAGCTGTGCTCAGGCACTGCCTCCCTTCCCAGATGCCTCCTCAGATCCATAAATGACAGCCAGTGGAGTGTCAGCATTGTGCTGAGTTAGACCAACAGCTTTCCTGAGGGCCCTTCTTCAGGTGGGAAAGCTGCCTTATGAGGCCAAATCTCTGAGCATGGCAAGACTTCTTTGCTCTGCTCCGGCACTGTTCAACTGGCCTAAGGGATCTGCTGCGGATCCTCTGCAGTTCAGGACCAATGTTACTAATGCTCTGTCACTCCTGTCTGAGGAAGCATGTGGGGACCTGACATGAGCAGCCCCTGGCAGCCCCTGGAGCTGTTGTCAACAGCTATAAGTTACAGCAGCACAAACTGTCCCAAAGCAGTACCTCTAGTCAAGGATGTGCCACTAACTCTCTCCCCTCCTGCTGGCAACCACAGCAAAGCATAATTCAAAAAGACCTGGAGGCGGGAGTCATGGTAAGATGAATGGGGACTGTATGGAGTAGTGGATTTGTAGTCCTTGTTCTCATTGTGCAGCTGCATAACCCTGAGTTGTTGGCACAAAGTAATCTCTCTGCAAAGTGGAGTGAAGCTCCTTAATCAGCTCCTTAGCAGTATTGTGAAGTTTGACTGAGGCATGTGCCTGATAACCCAGCTAAACTAACCCCAGAGAATGGCCTGTACTTGGGATATACCACACAGGATATAGATTATGAAATTATCCTCTGCCTCCATCTCTCCTACAGCCTTGGACATTGCAAGTAGGTTGGGGGCTGGCAAGAGGGAAGATGTCTCCACAATGCTGCTGTAGTCTAGAAAGGCCCAGAGTGGTACTGACTGCTGGAAAGGCCTCTAGAAGGCTTTTTCTGGACAACATGGGTTAGAGCAGTCTTGAGGTTGCTCTAATTTATGCTAAGCACCACAAAAGATCCTAGGAGGATTGAAAATAAGGGAAAGGGCAAGGGTGACTAAAACCACACACACGCACTCTCCTTTCTGCATAGAATATAAGGAGTCAGGTAAATAGATTCATAGATTCATAGACTGTAAGGCTGGAAGGGACCTTGGAAGATCATTGAGTCCAGTCCCCTGCACCAAGCAGGAAAGAGAACTGGGGGTCAGGTGACCCCAGCAAGGTGACTGTCTAGCCTCCTCTTGAAGATTACTGATTGCACCACCTCTGGAGGGAGCTTATTACACAGTCTAGACACCCTGACTGAAGATGTTTTTCCTAATGTTGAGCCTGAATGTAGAGAATTATTAGAGTTGGGCAGCTGCAGAGGAAGAAGTCAGTAGCAATACATTTCAAGAAGGTAATTTTGAATTGGGAACCTGTGAGAGCAGCTGATTGAAGTGGCTCACAAGCCACACCAGGACAAGGTACCACGTCTTTCCAGAAACAATGCTCAACTGCAAAAGAGTCCTACCAGCATGTTTCCCTAAGCCAGGCTTTCGACTCTTAGCTCGGATGGGGCTGGCTTGCTCTGACCTTGGAGAACTGATCTGTTTTGTTTACACCCTGCTCCCTCTGCCTCTGCGTAAAGCCACCCAACCTGTCAGCTTTTTCACTGTCAGTTTTGAGAAGTATCTCTTCCTTCATACCAGACTCCCTCTCCCTTTCTTTACCACCATTCTTCACAGGACAAGTGTCAGTCAATCTTCCCTTTCTCAGCCTTGGCCAAAACGCCCAGTTGCCAGGATCAGAGCTAAGGAGTCCCTTTCCACAACTATCAGGCTGGCTATTGTGTTTGTGGGGAGGGTTGCTTTTGAAGCCCCTAACAATCTATGAATCTATGAATCTATAAGTCAGTGTTTTACCCGTTCTGCCTGGTTTGTTTCACAGGCTGTTCCCAGGGGTCGGATATTGATTTAACTCTTTGCTTTCCAGGTAGACATCAAGCTGAACAGGGAAAGTCATGCATAATACTCAGCAAGAACTACTCTGGCACAAAGCCTGCAGACCACTCCAGCACTGAACAAGCTGCAGAAGTCAGCATTCTAGGTATAGCTGTGCAATTACCAGATGATACTCAGTGGCAGAGAAGAGAACAAATAGGTCATTTTTTTCACATCTGGAGAGAAGAGTGTTAAAATCCAAGAGCTCCCATCTTCTTGTGTTCCCAGAGAGAAGCAGGAAGAGGGTAAATGACCTGTTCCTGGCTCTCGGTGCCCCTGAAGCCTTAAGCAGCAACCTGATGCTGGGTTAGGAACAGGCTGAGTCAGCTCAGCACTAGCAGCTGTGGAGAGTTCTGGGTACTGAGGCTTTGGATCCTTACTGGGAGATGAAGGGAGGAGCTGGTTTCCTGTATCCAGCTCTTAAGAGACAGCCAGCCCTTGCTCACATTTAGGCAATGCCTATGTATCTGGTCATGACAATAACTGTGCTTCAGTGTGAATCCAAGGCCTCTTCCTTGGAACATATGCAGCAAGAGTGTGTGTGGGTGGGTGGGTGAGTGGGTGTGAAAGACATACATTTCTCTCTCCAGAAGCACACACTTTTGGACTACTTTTGGGAATACTCATGTATACCATTTCCCACATGCGCTTAACCAGAAAAGGGGCAGGAGTGCTTGTAAAGAGGGAAGCCTGACAAAGGGTATATCTACACTCCCCACAGGGTGTACTTCAGCAGCGCAGATTTCAGTGTGGGCTGTACACAGTGTTCCCTTAGACTGCTAGCCTGTGCCAAAGTCCCTGTGTCTCCAGACCACTGCTGTTGTCACCTGAGCTAATTGGGGTACACTGAACCATGCTACACACCTTCTGTGGCAGTCCCAGCATATCTAGAGAGAGAGACAGACACATAGAGGGTCAAGTCATTACTAGGGAAAAGTAAAGGTAAGTGACTGTTGTGTGTAAGAGTTCATCAGATAAAGCATGAACCATGGCTGCAGAGAAAAGCTTAAAATGTAACTCCTGAAGCTGTGGAACTGGAAGACTAAGAATGACCCCAGGATTGTTATATTAAAAAAACAAACAAAAAAAACCTCATGATTTTAAATCAAGTTCATGATTCTGAGGGCCTGATTCCTGATATTTGAATACTTGGGGTTGGTAATGCTGTACCTCAGAGGTCTTGTAAAATCTCTATAGTGAGGGGTCCTTTAGCCCTTCTTTTGGAAAGCACAGTTCAATTTTTTCCCTCATTTATCTGGGAGACTGAGCTATTTAAAAACACCAAAAGCAGCTCAATCTGCTGGCTCCTGCAGCAGGCCAAGAAAGTTTGGGAAGAGTTGGACTGAATCCAAAAGGAGGTTTTGTGGTCATATTCTCAGAACTTTTCGGGACAGACTTAGACACTGGGATGGTTAAACAGAGATGCCTTGAGCAAGGGGTTGGTCTCGGACTGGACTATCATTTGGCCCTGTTTTTCTATGGCTCTATGACTCTCTGTTTTGCCATGTTCCATCCTAGTATAAGGTAGTGTCTATGGTAAGTTAGTGGTAGGAATCCTTGGAGTGTCTGTGCAATTTCTCATCTGTATTCAGAAGAATGCCATGTTCACACATACACATGGATACATGCACACACACTCATACATGCAGAGACACCCTCAAGGAACCCTCTTGTCCCAAGAGGCATGGTGAATTGGGAGCACCTGGCATCATAGAAAACAGTTAAGGGCATGGACACACATGGCTTAACCCATTTTAAATGTGGTTTAAACCTAAAGCAGACAGACATACAAGGCTGTTAAACCAGTTTAAAGCAGCCTGGTATGGTTCAGAAGTGCACCTAGAAAATGAAGCCCTAATTTGAATCAATTCACTGTGAACCAGTTCAGTGTTGTATATGGACACAAAAAGTTCAGTGACACAGGTCTGGTCATCACTCTAGGTATCCCACACTGTATTGCTCCCCCTCCTCCCCACTGCTGCATCTGGCTGCTCTGGTATGTAGTCAAAACTCTATTGCCCCCCCCTCCCCTTTCCCCCTTTGTTGGCGCTTTTTATCAATGAGTTTCCTTCCAATGATGATTCCACAAAAGTGATCTTTCTAACAACCAGCTGGGTCCTCACTTCCTACTTGACTGTGGTCCCTTACTTCAAAAGACTGGATCTAAGCACTCCCTCTGCTTCTTCTCAAGTCAGGCA